TCTGTTCACATCGCATCACATCACACTGGTCCCTAGTGCTAGCTTTACTAACTTTGCTTTCTGAAACTCCTCCCTGGACAAAACCTATCCTTGTTTACCTGTGAAAACATGGCAGCCCACTGATGTTTCAATGTTCACCTTAGCTTCTTTTCTATCCATTGTTCAACATCTAGTGTGGGAAAGGGGCAGTTATCAGAATACAAATGATACAGTTATGATTTATTGCAATTTATTATCATATGTTATTTTGGTATGTTGTGCAGTCAGCCAGATGTTCAGACTGTATTTGGCATTTTTATCCATCAAGTCCTTCCCAAGAACCTGGGATAGGCAGATATTGTTCTTATTTTTACATATTTGTCCACCAACAATCTTGGATTCTCATTTTATTCCATGAGACACGATCCATAGTATGAGCAATGTGTGACCATTGTTTATTGTACTAAAAATATTATGTCCTTTCTGTTCTTTTTCTGGTTTTACTTGTGCATCATCCAGAGTCCTACAGATTGGGATGGAATGCAAAATTATAGTGTATTTCTCAATCCTGGTAAAGAAAAGAAAGCAATAGTATTTTTATGATGGTGGTTGGGTCACTTAAGGATGAAGGCCCTAATGTACCTGTAATTTCTTTGAGGAAACTGCCTACCATCCATCTGCTCTCATGTGTCTTTCTTGAATGTCATTTCTTGCCATTAGCAAAATAGCAATAAGGGAGTGGATAATGTGAATAAAATCTTAAGAATATTTTTTATCTGTGAAGTAATAGTGAATATGCAATTGCAAAATGCTTACCACTCAATCTGCATTCTGCTACTCATGCTCTTTAGATATTCCTGGCTGGTTTAGCCAATACCTGTTATAACAATTCTATGGTCTCCTAAGGGTAGCATCTTAGGGACTATTGAATGCATTGGAATTGCTCTCTGTATAGAAGAAAAATCCATGTCACAATATCAATATGAGCTCCTCCTGGTAGTAAACACTCTGATGCTGAGGATATCAAAAAAGAAGGGACTCCCTAACTGATGAAGTAACACTGTCAAGACCTTGTCCCAGTGTCTGGATGATGGGGTGGGGGGATGGATTGTGGGTACTAGGAACGCCCATTCTTGATAACTTTCTAACCCTGGTCCATAATGGAGATGCACTCCATTTTAGAATGGGAGTCTTCTTGGACTCTTCAGTTTCTGGTCAAGGAGAGGTTGTCAGCTATGGCCAGGAAAACCTTTGTATAGGTCCAGTTTCTAGGATGGTTATGTCTTTCCCTGGACTGAGACATCTTCCTTACAGTCACTCATGTCATGATTAACTTGGGCTTACTGTATTTTACATGAGATTAATATTGAAGCCCACCAAGCTTTATTTTTGCCTGGAACGGACGGGCCACAATGGCCTTCAACTTGTTCACTCCTATGTGCCCACTTGCTGAAAATCAATGGTTTCCAAGTAACTCTGATGGATAAGTTTTGTTGAACCTTTACAACACTAGCTGGCAGCTCTGTCACCTTCAGATCTGATAATCATCCTCTCAACCTCTTTATCCATGTCATTAACACAAATGTTGAATAACAAAGGTCTCAGGACAAAACCCTGTTGTGTTTCACTCAATTTCAAAATAATATCAGAATAACATGGTTGGAAGGGGCCTTGGGAGGTCTTCTAATCCAACCCTTTGCTCAAGCAGGAAACACCATTTCAGACGAATGGTTGTCCAATCTCTTCTTAAAAACCTCCAATATTGGAGCTCCTACAACTTCTGAAGGCAAGTCATTCCACTGATTAATTGTTCTGTGAGGAAATTTCTCCTTGGTTCTAGGCTGCTTCTCTCCTTGATTAATTTCCACCATTGCTTCTTGACCTGAATAGGTTGATCTCCTCTTCTTTAGATAGATACTGCTATCACATCTCGCCTAGTCCTTCTTATCATTAGACTAGATATACCCAGTTCCTACAACCATTCTTCATGTTTTAGCCTTTAGTCCCCTAATCATCTTTGTTGCTCCCCTCTGCACTCTTTCTAGACACTCAAACTTCAGGTATTTAAGATTATTTCCAAACTGATGCAGCATCATTTCTGATTACTCTGACTAGGATCATAGTGCAAATTAGGAATCCATTTATGATGGATTTATCTAACCCTTATTTATAATATTATCAATAGGACTATTGTGAGAAACACCTATTCTGTGAGTAGCTGCTACTAGGGCAATGGATCTCTCCAAGATAAGAGCTTTTAGGTATTAAATGGTTCCTACATATCCTTACATATATAATATAAAATGAGGAAAATGAAAACAAAGAACGTACCCATTTGTTCTGAAGAACAACAATCTGTAAATTCTGTTGCTATGTGAACATTCTTTCTTTCCTCTCACTATTGAAAGACATAACATAATTGCTGTATTACAATTCCACTGCTGTCATTCGTTATTAAAAATAAGACACCACGCTTTTTTATATAACTGGTGGTAAAACTTTATTATTCAAGTTTAGATGTAACAGACATCTTTTGCTGCCTGAAGAATTGTTTGCATAAGAAATACACCAGGAACACGGTTGTGAATAGAAACAAACATGCAATATGAAGACTGGGGTGGGAGGGGGATTGGGAATAGGGAGACAGGGAAGCAGAAACAGAAAACACAAACGAAAGCAAAATACTGTTCTATTATATAAGATAGAGCAGTGATGAGCATTTTAGATTCAGTCCTACATTAAAAAAAAATATTCTTGAAAATATTTGAAACTTCCATTGTTGAATATTGCTACCATATTACATTAAAATCAGCAATATTTTGAGATGGGCTTACTCCAGCAAATCAGAATATACTTAGAAAAGGAGAGAAGCATTCATACCATGAATCTAGTGGGAGCAGAATATTTTAGGTATCAGAATAGAATAAGGAGAATAGGATGAAGTATTTATGGAGTACTTATGCCATGGGCACAATCTACTGAAAGTCTGCTAGTTCATCCTCGTTCAGTTTCAATTCAATTTAATGAGGCTCGTAGTCAAATGGTGTATTTTTGTGTAGTATTTCAATTAGTGCTATGGAGAAATTTGTAACTTGGCTTTTCTGTTTGAAGTGCCGTATCTTTGTAATCTCTGGTATTTATGGAAAGATAAGGCCAGCAGACTGTAACAATGGGTTGCGATAGCTGAGAACACAAAGTTTTCTTGACAATTTTGCATTTAAGCATAGATAGGTTTAGTATGTGTCAGGGGATCAGTGCTTCTGATTTTTAGGTAATTTACCTCGGCCAGATAGGCTCTCCCCCTCTCTGCAGTTATTACCCTAGTTATCTCCTTGAAAGTGGTTATTAAATTATCTTGCATATAATCCTTTTAATTGTTAGAAGAAAATTATGGATACAATGTTTCCTATGGTATATTTAGAACCCTGCATATCAAAGTGATCTTCTAGGGCAGAGGTCTCCAAACTTGGCAACTTTAAGACTTGTGGACTTCAACTCCCAGCATAGCTGGCTGAAGACTTCTGGGAATTGAAGTCCACAAGTCTTAAAGTCGTCAAGTATGGAGTACCTGTTCTAGGGAAAGAAAAGACCCTTTGTAAGCAAAAGAAGCCTTTTCCAACCTTGAATGAGGTTTTGAGAGCTTTAGTTCTAACTCATCTATAGGGAACCAGATTCATGAAAGAACCTGTTCAAGAGTCTAAATCCTATAAATCAGAATAGAAACTGCGCTGAAGAAGATCGATGCTTCACCTCAGGAAAAATTGAAAGAATGAATCCTTTTCAAACTGGACAAGATATGTCCCATTGATAGGAAATGAGCAAATATCCAAAATCTTTGATGGGAAATGAGCAAATAACCAGAATCTTTGGCGTATCAATAATTAAAACTGGATATAACCAGGTGTATGAAATCCAGATAAAACAACCTCTTGGGGAAAAAGGTGGGAGGTATGGGAATGAGATTTGTTTAGTTGGCACTACACTTAAATGGTATTATCTCTTGCTCTGTCTTTTCTCTCTTGATGTGTGTTTGTGTGTCTGTATGAATAAGAATCATACTGGGCTTAGTTGTTTCCTCCAATATCTATAAAGTCCTTGGAATCACTTTCTCTGCATACTTAGAGCTCATCAAACATCTTATTAGTCCAAATATTTATTTTAATTTTTGGCTGACAAAGTGACAGCTGCTATCATTCCACTGTTTAGACAAGAAAACGGGTTGTGGCAAAGGGAAAAAAAAGAATTTCCATTAATTGGGTAACTCTTGGGGAAAATATGTCCACTTTTAAGTTTTTATTTTGCATTTTTATTCAGAGGTTAAACGTGCAATATTTGGTCAATTGAAGCAGCTAGTTGGAATCATAATTACCAAGATCAAATATGCAAAATGTAGTGTTGAACCTTTTTTGTCCTTTATATATTTCAAATTATTCTATAGGGTATAATTTGTCCAATGTGGATGGTCACTTTTAGTCTCTCAACTATAGACCATGTTTAATGGCAATAGCAAACTAAGCATAAAACTGTGCAGAAGGTCATTATCATAACTATTGTCCATGGAGCTTGGTTTCATAAAAGATACAGGAGTGACAATCCAGCCTATTATTTTCGATAACTTATAGATCTTCTAAAGCAAAATAAGAACATTATTGGTTCTCCCTATCATTTTCAATGAATAGGATGCTTCTGTCATTGCCATCCATTTCTGAACTATTTTTTCCACAATGAGACCCTAACTGAGGCATTAATTAGGTTCAAAGAAACAGAAATGAAACTTAGCTATGATAGCAATTATATAATCATAGGATTGGAAGGGACCTGGGAGATATTCTAATCCAACCCCCTGCCCAAGGCAGGATACTTTATACTATCCCAGACAAATGGTTGTCCAGTCTTTTCTTGAAAGCCTCCAGGGCTGGGAAGCAGCAGTTCCATTGATTAATCTTTCCCACTGTCAGGAAATTTCTCCTTAGTTCCAGGCTGGATTTCTTGTTGACGAGCTTCCACCCATTGCTTCTTGGCCTTACTTTGCTCTGGAAGATTCCGGGACTTCCTAGAACAGTTTTCATACAACACGGAGGATGTAATGAGAAGAAAAGGAAGGGAAAATCTACTTGCATAAAGCATGAGAATTGGTTAGCTAAAATAAGGAGATAACATGTCTGTAGCGTTGTTGTTTTTTCCCAGTACTGCAAAACAAAACTTTTCTAAAGCATAACTCTACATAATATATTGGAGGGAATGTGGGTAAAAAAAGAAAGTGTTTGTGAGTAGAAATACTGTGTAGAAAAAAAATCTATCAGTTTAGACAGGTTGGATTGGGCTATTTAATATTTTAATTTAAAAAACAGACAAAGGTTATGCATTACAACAGACATATTGTTCCATCTACAATAACAAATCTATTTTTGTGCAAAAGCATCTGGAGCATTTTAGATGGTAGCAGCATTTCAAACTGCCCTATTCTGCATCCAGCATTAGTAGCCCACTGTTAAGATAAGCAATATAAAAGATCTTAGATTCTATTCAGCTCCCCAAGAGTTTTCACTTTTAAACAGCTTCTCTTTCAGGAGTAATTCCATGGGTGACAAATTAAATCCATAGCTGGAAGAGATCATTTTAGGACAGCCAAAATCATTCTAGGACAGCCAAAATAGAAGTATAGGTAAAATATAGATAGCCTAATATGCTACTTAACGTTAAGTATTTTTTTTTAAAAAATAGCTGAAATGGAATTTCAATTTTGTCAGCGCCTTTGCAATATTTCACTAGGAAAAATGCAATGTGCAATGTATTTTTTTTAACAATTAAAATACTAATAGCATGTATTCCTTGTATGTTCATTAAGATAAATCTGGGAACATTTTAAATGGCAACTGAACAGGGGGGCGTACTGAAGAGGTCATCCTGCAGTAGGCCACCATTAGCAAGCTGCCACCCTTCTTAATGAAAAGTCCTGAGTGGACTGTAGTTATGTGCTATTTTCTTTGAAGGGAATGCATATTTTTTAGTCTTTTTTAAAAAATGCCTTAAAATGCTCATTTCATTTCCTATTATGCATTCAATTTATCTTTAAGTAATTTCCCCTCCCCCTTTTTGTGATTCAGCTTAATTTGGGGCATTTTAATTTTTGGCTCACAACCTAATTGATTTCTATTGTTAATGAGACAAGAGCAAATTGGGGGGGAAAGAATGTATTTCAAATCCTGCCACTGCCATATGGATTGGAGAAGAAAAATGATACCTATTTCAAGATTCTAAAGTAGATGATTTTCAGAAAGAATGTAGAATGCCATTCTTTCTGGACTGTGAATATAAGCAACATTACTCTTCCTTGAAATGCAACCCACTGTCTGTCTTGTGGCCTTTTAGTGGTCTAATAATCCTAGATAGACACTAAAATTGTAGAACAACTTTAGCGTCTGAAATATTGTTTTACGTAATTGACAGGACATATTGACATATTGAAGGCAATATGCAGTTATAGTTGAAAAAAGGGTACCAGAGAATCCTTAGCCTTGGTATCAAATAATAGACTCACTTTAATTAAGTGGAGAAATTACTTTCATCACAGGTTCCCTATGTAGGCTCTAAAAAACTGCCAAGGTCAGCCAGATCTTTGGAGACCAGCTATAGGAATGTCACTCAGGCAGATTGAGGTTTCCTGCTGCTTGCTTTCAATATAAATTTTAGAGGCAAAGTCATGGGTAATCACTATCATCATGGGGTTTGCAATTCACGGCAGGTCAAATTGCCATCTACGTTTTGCAAACTATGGATAATACCAGTTGGTAGTGGTATGTTGTGAAGGCCTTATTTTTGTTTTCCAAAAGGTGGTTGAAAGGAACCAGATGGATCCCAATAATTTACCGTTTATAATGGTCACACTTGGTACAATCCTATGCAGGAATTTATGTCACTGTGTTCAGTGAAGCTTTTATTCCTTAGTACATACATTAAAAACAATACACTTAGCAGTTGCATTTAGGAGGCTTATTGGGAAGTTAAATTGAGATAAGAGTTAAACAAGGCCCCATTTACTTTCTACAAATTGAACCCCTAGCAAATAAGTGCTAGTTTAATTCTTCTTAAGATTCTAGTCTTGTAACTCTAAACTGGGGTGACTTCTCTCCACTTTATCTTGCCAAATAAATTTAAATGCTCATTTTGTAGACTAGGAAATGATTGGTCTAAATCATTTTAATTGGGAATAATAGCATGTAAGTGGGCTCAGAAGAAGGACCTTCCACATAAGTTCCTATCTTGGAAATCGAGCCTGGAAATCCCTAGAAAAAAAATCAAAGGGAGGGAGGGAGGGAGGGAGGGAGGGAGAGAGGGGGTGGGTGGGTGGGAAAGAAGAATGGAATATCAGACATTTGAATCTTCATTTGCAGTGACATTTAGGAACCAATTATACTCCACAACCGTAAGAGACTAAGACCGTGCAATGCAAAAAAAAAAAAAAAATAAAGCCCCAGCCGCAACAAAACGAGAAAACATGAAGCGACGGTGTAATATGGTAAAAATGGAGTGCAATGCTAGTACAGAATGCAATTAAAAACTTGTGTGCCAAGGAGTCAGGTGGCACCTCTTGACATAATCTCTGAAATGTTTCAGCTGAAACATAGACAAAGCAATAAAAAGAGGATATATGTTTATCATTTTAAGCATAACAATGTGAGTTAAGAGCTTAAGAATACAAAAAGTACTTGGAATGAATAGTGCTACTCTTTTTCTTCCTCCTAAGTAGGCATAAAAATATTTTCATTTCCTTCTTCGTCTTCGTCGTCTTCTTCTTCTCCCCCAAATATCATTATTATCAACAAAGTTCATTCATTTCATGTTACCGTTTACAATTTTAATGCACACACACACGCGCACAAATCAAAGATACCTACTGCAATAGAAAGTTGCTTCATTACCTTGTTTGCTACATTTGCAAATGTAAACAGAGCGAGGCTGAGCCAGCGCTGAATCTTATGCATGATGGAATATCTTTGTTGCATACGTACACTGTAGAAAATAATTATTCAATATGTCAGGCACCATTATTTGAAATGTAATACATTAATATTTACTAGAAAAATAAGTTTTTTTCCTATTTGTTCTCCCAACTTCTTAAATGAAATAAGTTAATCTGACAGTACATCCAGTAGCTTGTAATATCTCTTGTATATCCCTTTAAAAAAATAAGAACAACAACAACAACAACAACAACAACAAGAGGACTGCCTGGGCCAAGATAATGAAATTGAATCGAAATCCACCCTTTGTAGATTTTTGCAACATTTGTGAAGGTTTGTCTAACAGCACCTTGAACCAACGACTGAATATTTAGTTATTTAGCCCTATTTCCCTGAGCAGTTATGCTGAGGAGCTTTCCCTTCATGGAATAATTTTACAAAAGGTTTATTATTATTATTATTATTATTATTATTATTATTATCATTATCATCGTCATTATTATCTTTCTCTCAAAAATATTAAAAATAAGATTGGCCATGAAGGCAAACACTACCAAAAGCCGGAGTTAAGCCTGGTGAAGCAATTGACCACTGCATATAAACAATCTTAAGGACTTCTGGGAAAAGTCAGTCCCATACTCTACCTGAAGCAAAATTGAGAGAAGAGTTAGTCAAACATTAATACTATGAATGTTAAGTCCATAAAGTAGCTTTCGTATAAGACAGAGAGAGAGAGAGAAATCAGAAAACAGAGTACTTTTCCTATATTTTGGCCAAAGCATCTTACATCCACTATCTCCTGAGACGTAGTTTGCAATCCCCAGATTTACTTGTGAGCTGAATTTCAATGAATCTCTCTTACAAAAGGGCTTTCTCACCACCTTTAAAACTTAAGAAGCAGCCTGGAAAGAAGGTCTTCTTGGCATAAAAGGTCATGTTCTGAGACTCCCATCTTTCCTGAGAATTTGTTATTTACTTGATTTCAGAGTGAAAGGGAAGGAACAGCTGTGGTTGAGAATGAATGTTCCTGGTCTTCAACCTATTTTAAGCAATGCTCCTGCTGCTCTAGATTTCAAAAAGATTGAAGGGCTCTGTTGTAGGGATCCAACAACAGCTACCCACTGGCTTAGCACAAGAGACAACTGGGAAACAAAACAGAATAAAACCAAACCAAACCAAACAAAAGCCTCCAGATTGTAGAAATGCTCTCCTGCCTCCAGACTCTAGAAATGCTGTTGCAGGAGGATGTTCTAATAAGGCCAAAGTGAACCCAAATGGAGAAAAAAAAATACTACTAGATTTCTGGGCATCAGTTTATTTAACAAGTCCATTTCACTATACAATGTGCATATGTGTACTGTACACCTGCTTCAGCATTATACATCTTTGCATTCTAGCCAGTTATGTTTCTTGTACAAGAACAAAAGCGTTATTTGCCTGGTTAAGTTTTGCAAAGAGACCTTCCCTGATATAGTGTCTTTTGTATAGATTTTTTTTCTTTCTTATTTATAATTTTTTTGTTTTTTGCAGGATGGGTCCCGAGTGATTTATTCTTTACCCCTCCCCCATTCCAGCTGCCATCCTTTTTTATTATTTAATAATTATTCTTAAGAACTTTTAGTTTGCTTGTATGAAGCAAAAGGAGGGAAGAATAAAAGATTGTATATTGGATAAGGCATGCTTGCTATATGAAGTGCTTAAGACATTACAAGCTATTGAATTCCCATCAAGGAAACCTATTTCTGTTTAATTGTGCTAAGTGCTAAGGTTTTTTATTTATTTATTTATTTATTTATTTATTTTATTTAATTTTACTCTTTCGGTTTGCCATTCGTTTCTGCTTGTGCATTGTTCTTATGTAGGCCCCTCTGGATGTGAGTGGTGAAGTCATACTTGTCCGTGCAAAAATATTGGCATATGCTGCATTGAAAAGGTCCACTGTCACCATGGCAACTCATATGCAAGGCATACATCACTTCATCCAGAAAGACAATGCCACAGTGCACACACTTGGTTGATAGATCATCTTGAGTACTTCGGTCAACTTTCTCGCTTTTAACTACATTCAAGGAACCTTCATTTTTTACATTTGATGCTGTCTTAGCTTTCTCCTTAGAGGCACCATTTGCAGTCGCCCCAGGTCTGGAATGTTTTATCGCCAAATCTAGAGGAATGTCATTGTCAGATCCAACAGCTGAAAAATGAGGAGGCAGATTAAAGGTGGGATAAGGCACATAGTTTTGGCAAGGATTTGGTAGGCCAGGCACATGACTCAAGTAGTGTGGATTCCCAGGAACGGACAGCTTATATTTACTCCAGAATCTCAGCCAATCAGCTTCACTTTGAAACTCATTGTGTACAAATGGAAGTCCAAAAAGTGGGTACTGGTACTTCTCAATAGGGCTTCCAGGTGGTGAATAGTTTAGGTGTTTAGCAGGTCTCATGTATTTTTCTATTGGGCTGCCTCTCTCTGAGCTTCCTTTTCCTTCTGATATGGAGGAACTATTGCCTGGGTCTCCAGAACTTTCCTGAGGACTTTTTATCTGAATGTGCAAAGGTTGCATCCTTTTATGAATATCCAGAGATTGGCCGACCAGTATTGACTGAGGAGCGGAATGGCTTTTAGTCAATGAACCCTGGGCTTCATATTTACTTAGGCTGGGAAGCTGGATTTCTCTCTGATGACCTTCTGTTAAATGATCCTCTGACCTCCTATCTAATGGGCTGCCGTTGACTTGTTCCTCGCTGTTCCCTCTCTGTTGTTTGTTTAGCTGCTCAGCCTGAAGTGCCTCTGGGTTAAGGCGTTTTCTTGTCCGTCTCCTAATGATCTGCTCACCGTTGTTCTGCTTAATGATGTTTAAAGGCCTGGGAGTCTGCATATAAAACACAATAACATCATCAATAAAAGAGCAATGCTAAGCAAAGCTTTGCAAAACTGTTCATGCAAATCCCTTGATATACTTAAGAGTTCAGTCCAGTCTAATCAAGCCATCCAGGGGAACTGTTTTAAGAAGGGCTTTGATTGGAAGGAAGATGCAAGGGCAGTGAAGCACAGGAAGCTGACTCCCTAATTTTGAATGATTAAAACATTCCACGTGTGGGGTTTCGATTCCCTCTAGTTGGCATCGAAGTGAATGTCATGATCTTCATATAACAACCTTGAAAGTGATAAGGCACCATCAGTGCTGTCTTTGGAAGATAAAAGTCACGATCAGTTTCACATGGGTATCAAGGAAGTCTTTAAGCTATAATTTCACAGATTGGATGCTTTATGAAACCCTCAAGGTTGTAATGGAAGGAAATGTGTAAGAAAGAGGAAGGAGAAACCTATGGACATCTGACTCATTGGTCAATTGTATAGTTCCTTCAATTAGAACAATTTATGTTTCTTTGTCCTTCTTCATATCTCCTGCCATATTTAATTATAACAATTTTCATTTATTTATAACCATTTTCAGGCCATGATCAACTTGAAAAGCAATCTACAAAAGGATTAAGAGCGTAATCAATGAACTCTGTAACAGCTTGAGTTAATAAAATATGCTAATATGAAAATAAAACCCACTTTGCTCAGCTTTTCTTTTATCTCCTGATCTGCCTCCTTCATCCACCTTTGCCTTTGTTAAGTTAATTTATACGATAATTAATTTGTGCTCCTAATCACCTATCTCTGCTTGCTAAGCTGAATTCAATTAAAAATTGCCAATCAAAAAAAAAAAAAACTTATGATTTAGATGCAAGATAAGAAATGGTCATCTGTGCAGAGCCCAACATGGGATACATAACTGTGACATTATCAGATTCTTTGGCAACAGCCTACACACACAAAAAAAATCATTCTTTCGTAACTATGATTCTCCAAGTCCTCTTTAGCAGGATTTATTGATAAACAAAACAGATTTTCAAGAAGCCTGGTGACTGAACTCTCTTCAAATTAAACCTAATATATTCCTTTGTACATTACAACAGAAACTTTCTGATTCTTTTCCTGACAGATGTCCGTAAGACTCCACAGCTGGCTATTTACATAACGTTCTCTTGAATCCCTTATCAGTCTAGGAAACAATTCTTACAGATATGAAGGAGACTTTGCTGCCCATCTGCAGAATCACATTTGCATAATATACTATGCACTGGGACATTTGAGAGAGAAAGGAAGGTGTTTTGTGTAAATGCACAGGCAATCACACTCAAAGATGCACAGTCATAATAAGCATCCTGTTCTCATGATTTTCCTTATCATAGTCTCTGAATGGAGTAGCAAATTTTCACATTAGAGGAAGAAAGATGTCATGATTAATATGACAACAACTCCAAGGATTATCTGGCTATAGGAAAAATCTTGCCTGGTTTTCTGTATTTACAGAAAATGATTGGCGAACGCTCAAGACCCAGTCCTGCAAAAGATTATCTGAGGCTTAGTAAACAAAGCTATTATTTTGCTGCTGTTATGATAAAAAGAATAACAGAATAACAGAGTTGGAAGGGACTTTGGAGACCTTCTAGTCCAACCCCCTGCTCAAGCACTAAACCCTCCTACTCCTAATGGGAAGAGGCAAGGGTAGAAGATGAACTGGAACGTTCTGGTTCTCTGTATATGAGTCTCCTGCAAATTGAGACAAAAGGTCATCCATGGTTGCACCAGGCTCATGTAATCACCTTTTGCAACCAGATTCCCCTAACAGCCGTGTTATTAACAATTGCAGTGTTTCACTTAATAACTGTGGCAAGAAAAGTCACAAAAATGGGACAAAACTCACTTAATAACTGAAAAAAAAGGAAAAATAGCAACTTAGCAGGCAAGCTTGCCAGGTAAGGAGTGGGTGGAGAAGGTTCCATGTGGGCAGGGCAGCCTTGTGTTATTGCGCAGCCTGGATTAATTTCTTTGGGGGGGTGCTCTGGGGGTGACATTTCTCTGTGGACCACCAAAATTTTCTCGTGGACCACCAGTGGGCCGCGGCCCACCAGTTGACGACCACTGGTTTAAAGCACACTTCATATCAGAATTGTGAAAAATCTCCAAAGAAAAATGACCCTGAAAATTTAGGCATTTCTCTTTTTTTCTCTTCCCCAATCCCTGGTTCAGTAAACGTAGCTGGGAACAATGAATGAATGAATGAATGAATGAATAAAAACTTGGACAGATATGTAGCTATTATGTACTCAACCTACAGAAAGAGAGTCTGAAAAAGCCTTTGCCTCTCCAGTGACATCATGACATTCCCACCCTGCCCCTGGCATCTTCAGTAACCTCAGGAACTCCCTCCCCAGCAGAAACATGTTGTGCTAAGAACGGTTGACCAATGTCAACGGCTACAGAAGTCAATACCTGGGGGCAGCACATTGAAAGCCCAGGGAAGAAGTAAACACATGCTCCTTATGAAAAGTATTGTTTGCTCGATTCTCTCTAGGCAAGATGATAACGTGGCAATGTGGTAACATTCATATTAACATTCAAGTCTGAAATCCATGAATGTGAATAAAGGATGCTTCCAAAGTTGCCAAAGTTTGTTTCCGTTTCTACGGCAGGGATTTGCTGCTCTCATTTTTCCTTGGCACCCCAGTCATGACTCCATAATCAGGTCCAAAACCTGCCTACGCACATCACAGAAGAGATTTGGGAGGGAATCCTGATACTCAGAAAGAATGGGGCGGCCCATTGCATGAGGCAAAATAGAAAAAAAGGCAGTAGCAGTTGAACCTTTGATTTGTATTGTTTATTTTTTTCTGAAAGTAAACTGTTTGTTGTTGCTGTTCAGTTGCTAAGTTGTTTCAGAACCCATGAACCACAGCATGTCCCCCCCCCCCCATCTTCCACTGTTTCCCAGAGTCCTTTCCCTATTTATTCATCTATTGGATATACATTCTTAATACTTTTTAAATGAAGAACCCTTGAGTGTTCATGTTTAATTACATAGACTTTTTTTCCTACTGCTGACTCTATAGCAAACTTAATGTTTATCAACACTTTCACCCTTTGCTTGGGTAAAATTAAACTCATTAAACATTCATGTGCATCAAATAGAAAGTTAGTAGCTTGTTTCAAGCCTAGTATAAAAAATGGTTTTTACCTTAGCTCTGTACTCACAAAAATAAATGTAGCTCCAACTTATTACCAATTAGCACTGGCATTAATAATTGATTTCTTTTGAACCAGCTTTTTTTTAAAAAATCCCTACGTGCCATTCATAGCAAACTGCAAGGATGCCAAAATAATGACACATGAGTGATGATGTCATCACACAAATAAATGACTCATGGAGTCATAACATTTGTCATAAGTATGTAAATCACAGTGTTTGGGTGATAATGTTGTCATTTGTTTCTTTGCCTCCTCCAACTGAGGCCCGTGCCAAAGAAAATTATTCTAGTAGTTATTAGTAATTCTATATTTTTTACCACAGCAAAAGAAAAAAAAAACCTTGTGCACACTTAAAAGCATTATAAAAAGTAACTTTCAATTGACAAGCAAAACTTTGTCGCACTAAGTTAGCCATCTTTACATGTTGCAGGTCCCATCTATTAGGGAAAAAGTTCTAGAATAAAGAATAAAGACCTTCTCAGTAGTAGCTCCCTCCCTATGGAATATTATTCCCTGTAGATAAGATTGGTCCCTACCTTGTTAGTTTTCCAGAAGACTCTGAAGTTATGGTTCCATCTACAGGCCTAGGGACCCTAAGCTGATTTAGACCCAATCAAGTGGTTGGTTGTTGCCAATATAGGGGAAGTGGGATCACATGGCTTTTATGCTTCTGATTTTTTTGATTTTTTTAAAAAAAATATCTGGAGTCACTGTGTGAGTTCGACAGCCATATAAATTTGTTTAATGAATAAAACCTTCTGGCCCCGTTTAAACAAAGAAACAAACAAAAAGTATTTATGATAAATCAAAATATAAATGAGCTGTGTGCTCTTATCTTTGTTTTATTTGGCTCTTTTTTCCCTTTACATGTTGCAGTCCAACTCATTTGAAGTTAATTAGATATAATTTTCCATTTTAGCTAATGTATGACATAGTAGCACAACTGAAATAAGCCAAGACTTTTTAAAAATAAATGAATGGAACCTTCATGAAGTGTGAAAACTAGTAAAAAACTGAATATTGATCCATAGATTACTTTAGGCCAGTTTTTCTCAGTTGCTAAGGCTGAGAAACGCCAGTTTAAGCCAGCTAATAGCTGAAGATTCCTATGAATTCAACCATATCATTTACCCAAGAATCAGATCTATTTAAATCAGAAACAGAAAACTTCCTGAAGCTTTTCCTGATTTTAAGCCAGGGCTCAGATCCATTAACATAATGATGATAATGATGGCATAATGATGCCTCAGCAGCAACCAAACTCAGACTGGCTAATTCAATATATGGCTGCAAAAATAGGCTGACATAAATTGAAGATCAGCACAGACCGTCTAAATTTGCAGAGTGGTTTCATGAAAATAAACGTAGGGCTAAGAAGGAAATAAATCTTGCAAAGTCTTGGTACTATTTGGATGTTTAATCAGAACGGAGGCACCAATATACACCAAAAGATATACCCTGTTTTAGAATATCACACTTTATATCATTCCTGTTCATCTTGGAGGTAGCTATTTACAATGTATGCCAAGGTAGTTAATCCCCAGGATAAATACACTCCTTAGCAAAACCAAGCCAAAAACCTGGTCAGTATAATGTTACTTCTTCTCCTCTGTCAGACCACCTGGGAGATTGATTGATTGACTACTTTCAAGTCAGTGTCACTCTTAGCAACCATACAGATAAATTCTATCAATAATGCTCTGAGATTATCTTTATACCTTGGGTGTCCTTTTGGGGATTATCCTGGGGGTATACAACCTTGGCATACATTCCCGGGGTCCTTCACTCAACTCTCTCAGGAAATACATAACCCTAGGACTTCTGGTTTGGGTCTCTTCAGCGACAGTCCGAAATCCGTGATCTTGCATGGTTTCAATCTGTAGCTCGCTGCTGGAGCGCCCCGATCCTTTGGATTCGGTGCTGAAGCCACCCTGTAGAGGTGGTGAAGAGGGGGGAGATTGCTAGCTAAGTGGAGGAGAGCCGCATCTCTCCTCCTTGGCTGATCTAAACTCCCTTCCCCGAAGGAGGTTGCAGCAGTGGTTAAAAATGACCACCTCAAAGAAGAACCCGACTGGATAAGATTGGGCAGGACGAAGACAAAGATGAAAGCAGGACAGACCAGGCTAAACAACAGAGAACATCTAAGCAAGGTACCCTGAATCTAAAAGTACCTAGAGGGATACTCCTGAAAGAAGATCTTTAAGTGGCGAAGGAGAGAGAAAAGGAGGTTAAAACCCCCTTTTTTTACCTTTATATTGACAATTACAAATGGTATGGAAAGAAATTTATATTAATCTATTTTGACACTAATAGGCAACCTTAAGCTGAAATCTAAGTGTCAAAAGGAGAATAAAGATTTTTTCTTGGTCATTTTAAAGCCCTAAAAAGGAAAAAAGTGAAGGCAAAAGGGTGGGACTTGGAATAATGGAAAAATGGAGTGCCACCTGGAAAAATAAAGAGGATTAACAGTGAAACTTTGAAAAGACCCCCGAGGATACATTGTAACTGAAATCTTATTAAAAGATACAGTAACCCACGGAAAGGAAAAGTAACGGAAAGAAACAAGAAGGAACAGACTGGGATCATTTAGTGATTTTTTAAAAAAGTTGTTTGCCATTGGGTTTTTTTTTCTTTTTCTGTTTTTACTTAAAGTCAATTGGGTGGTTGTTCAAAAGTGTTTAAAATGCCATCATTCCTGGAGGAATTGAAGATGAGTCTTAAAAAACAGAAAGAAGATGCAGAAAGGGGAGGAAGATCCTTCGGCTTTGTATTTGAATTTTTTGAAATGGAGATTCTGAATTATAAAAAGCAAAAGGAAAAGCTTCAAGAGCAAGAAGAAGGGTGGGACAAAGAAGAAGCCATTTTCAATGATGAAATAATGCAAAGTGGGTAATAAGGGGAAAAAAGAGGAAAGGAGTTAAAAGTTTGAGATTAAAGGAACAGCCAAAAAGAAAAATAGTCTGAAAAAGAAGTATAACAGCAAGGAGAAGCAGAAAAGAAAACTACAGAAAGCAAAATTAGAGAGAAAGGTATAAAAAAGGGATGAGGAAAAGAAGGGAAAGATAGAAAGGGAAAGAACTTATGAGGGACAAAAACAGGAAATAAAGAAAAAGGGGAAATGTACTAGGATTAAAGGTATTTGCTCAGCTAGAAAACACAGAGACAATGGTTAAGTTAAAAGTGAGGATTCTGCAAAGGTACAAAAGATAGTGTTGTGACAGTAGAATAGTGTAATGAGTTAGAAATGAAATAAGTAAATAATCTATGAGATAAAACTATTGTTATGTAATGGTATGTTTATTTATAATTAATGCAATAATAAAGAAGAGAGGGAAACATTGAAATTGTTTCTAAAGATTGATAAAATATTGAAAAGAAATGTGAAAGATTTATAAGGAAATTTAAACCAGTTATTAGAATGAATTTGAATAATTATTTTGCTTAGTAATAGTAAATAATTTATAAGATAAAACTGTTTAACTAATGAAGAATTGTTCTCAATTGTTCTCAAAGATTGATAGATATTGAAAAGAAACATGAAAGATTTACAAGGTTCATACCAGTACTAGAATTATTTTGAATAACTATTTTGTTTACTAATGTTTATATAGATATAGATATAGTTTTTGCTATGTTTTTAGAAATTTTCTTTTTACTTTTTCAAGGGGAAGTACCAAGCAGAGTCTGAATGATGAGATCTACAT